CTTTACAGCTCATCTTACTGGTCAGTAATCGCTGCAGGAAGAAAGAACTCTGGCATTGGCCACAATGGAACAGCTGGACTGCCCAATCCCAAAGTGGGCTGAACAAGGGAATGAAACCATAGACATTAAAGTCACTAAACCTAAAAACTAAGGAAGCAAACAAGTCATACCTTACAAGATGACATGCAGGCAGAAGAAAACAGAGGCATTTTTTCATTAGCTTGGCACACAAAGGTTCTCTAGCTACTTGGTGAATTAATACACATGGTGCGCCTGGCTGGTGTGGGTCAGTGGTAGAGAACCAGCCCATGCACCGAAGGGAGGGCTCATGCAGTGGGCAATGAATCAACGTGCCTCTCTCACATCAATGTCTCTCGACCCCTCTCCACTCTCTAATCAATGGGAAAAGTAACTCGAGTGAGGATAACTAACTAAAGTATGCTTCTATGATGCTGGAAGAAGCACAAAAGGAAGACAAAAACCCACTTAGAGGACACCACCCTAAGAATACCCAAAAGGAAATACTGTGAATCAGGATTTCCATTCATTTTACAGCTTCCCAGGCAGGGCCTACTCTACTTCACAATTAATGTAAAAATAATTTTTAAGTTATATTCAAGTACATTAGCAGCCTTACAATTCCCGCACAATCTAACTTCTTTCTCACTTCAAGGTATCTGCACAATTTCCTCTACTTTGAAAATGATTCCCTCTCCCATACAATTCGCATGACTAGCTCTTCCTTTATCTAAAGTGTCAAACGACACTTCCTTAGGAGATTCCCAGAGCACTTCTCCTCTCTTAATAATCTGCCCTTTTACTTCTCAGCCCTTATCATTTTAATTATATGAATGTTTATCTGCATAATTTTTTAAATATATATTTTTAATTTATTTCAGAAAGGAAGGGAGAGGGAGAGACAGAAACATCAATGATGAAAGAGAATCACTAATTGGCTGCCTCCTGCAGACCCCCAATAAGGATTGAGCCTACAACCCAGGCACATGGCCTGACTGGGAATCAAACAGAGACCTCCTGGTTCACAGATCAACGCTCAACCACTGAGCTACGCTGGCTGGGCTCTGCCATAATTTTACCCTCATTAAAGTTAAGCGTTGCCCTGGCAGGGTAGCTCGGTTGGAGTATCATCCCATACAAAAAAAAAAAAAAAAAAAGGTTGCGGGTTCGATCCCTGGTCTGAGTATGTTCAGGAAGCAACCGAACATCGATGTCCTTCCTCCCTCCCTCCCTCTCCCTAGAATTCACAGAAACATATCCTCAGGTGAGGATTAAAAAATAAGAAGTATCATTACCAAAAAGACTACAGAAGATAGTGAACCAACCAAATGAGGATCTTCCTAGTGCACTGACAACATTATTTCATTTCAAACTAGGTCACTCAATTTTTAATTTAGTTCCAATATTAGGACCAAATTCAGGAAATCAAATCTCACCTTTTCTTCCTGGTTTCATTTCACCTTCTTGATCCATCCAATATTCTCTAATATCAATTAGGACTTTTCCTTTAAAGTCCCGTACGCTGACGTACCTCATTTTCCCAATCTGCAAAAGAAACAGAACATAAAAATTTATTTATAAGTCCATTTTTATTTACCAACTTACTGCATACTCACTACTCTTTTAATCACAAAAATAACTACTACTGTCAATATCAAAACTACAATCCAAAGGAAATGTCACTATTAAAAAAAAATCTTTGTAAATGATGGAACTAAACAAGCACAACTCACATTTCTAATCATTTTACATTATAAGAATCATTAGCAAAATAGTGCAACTGCTATGGAAAACAGTATGGAGGTTCCTCAAAAAACAGAACATATGACCCAGCAGCCCCACCTCTGGATATGTAGCCTCAAGAAATAAAAGCAGGATCCTGAAGAGGTATTATTTGTACACCCATATTCATAGCAACATTACTTACAATAATGTTTGGGATAGGGCAACCCAATGTCCATCTTCTGATAAATGAATAAACAAAATGTGATATATACAAGCAATGGAATATTATTCAGCTTTAAAAGAAATAAATATGTTCACATGCTGCAACATGGATGAGCCTGAGGCCATTATGGTAAGTGAAATAACAAGTCACCAAAAGATATAGATTGTATGATTCCACTTATAAGATGCCTAGAACAGTCAGATTCCTCTCTGAAATCAATAAAAATATGTATGTATTTTTAAGTGTAAGTATCTTAGGCGGCTATGACACTGAACTAAACATTTTCATTTTGGTTTTACAATAAGCCCAAGAGCTTGTTGAATAGATACAATTAAATCTACTGAAAATCTACTAAAATAATTTTATTAGATAAGTCAAATAAAGTTCAATGTGGGCTTGAGCAAGTGGAAGAAACTTTAGGTGATAGGATTTGACCTTGAAAAGTGATCAGCCATTAAATAAGTAAAAAGGAAAAAAAGGTGACAAAGACATAGAAGGGAGAAAGCAGAAAGATACAATACTGATTTTCAAGGGCAGGCTGACCACACTGACCTATACTGCAGAGGACTTGAAAACACTGGAAGAAAATTCTGAAGCCTGTATAGGTTCTTAGAGCAAGGACAAAAAAAAAAAAACATCAGAAAAATACTACTACTGCTTGTCTTCTGCAAGACTCATCTTCCTAAGATATCAGAAACCTGCAAAGAATTTAAACTCTCACTAGAAAAAGTAAACGTATTTTAAAAGAGACAAAGCAATGATCACAAGTAATTGAAGAGGTAGAAAACTGTTGCTGATTTGCATTTCCAGTGACAGCATTCCTGAGGCGATGAAGTGTAGAAAAGTGAAGATGCTGCCAGCTGACCTCCTGAAAGGCACCTGGAACAAGTGCTGAAAGGGCTCCTTTAAGGCTGGGGGTGGGGATGAGGGGGGTGTCAATACATTAAGAAAGGAAGTATTTGTTTATAGACTAACCAGTACCTTAGCCATGTACTGTACATGAGAAAGGCTAAAGCCCTAACCGGTTTGGCTCAGTGGATAGAGCGTCGGCCTGCGGACTCAAGGGTCCCAGGTTCGATTCTAGTCAAGCGCATGTACCTTGGTTGCGGGCACCCCCAGTAGGGAGTATGCTCTATCCCTCTCCCCTCCTCTCTGTAAAAAATGAATAAAATATATTTAAAAATGCTAAAACAGGGATTCATTTGGGGTCTGGAACAAATTAATTCAATTTACATTCTAATGAGAAAAAATGATTTGGTTTTCGAACAAATGGGTCTCGAACAGCCTTCTGAAACAAGTTAAGTTAGAGAACCGAGGTTCCACTGTACTTTCTAATGTGCAGTTCTCAATCTCTTCTTTTGGATTTCTATAGCTTTTAAATTCACATTGTTTTAAATACAGCAAAACTACAGACTTCTAGGTGTTAGGAATCATCTAGCATTTGAGGTATTGCTCCCAGGCATGCTGTCAATTTTGGCTCAAATTAAACTCGTTAAAAAATTTTTTCAGCATCTTATAAATTACTTTCATTTCTACTAACATGTTCTTGTATTTCAATGAATACCCTTAGTCAAGAGCACTCTAATGTACATAAAGGTTGTGCCTTATTAGATGAAGGCGCTCTGATCGTTCAGGTCCGGCCAGAGCAGCAGTCCCCTGGACCCAATCACCAACCTCACCTGGAACATGTTGTCATCCCTGCTGCTGCTGCTCTGTTTAGCAGACGACAGGGCTCTTGAAGTCTCACCAGTCTTTTGCTTCTTTACAGGCTTTTCTGAAGCAACTTGCTTTTTCCTCTTTAACTTGAAAGAAAAATATGAATATGGTTAAAATTTGCACACTTAATAAAACACTTCTCAGATTTATGGACACAAAAAAGGGGAGGGGGGGTATGTACAAGTTCAGTGACGAACAGGAACCTCAAGGACGATCTGACCATAGATCCCTACCTGGGCAGGTCAATGCCTGTACCTTTTAGTACAAGATGCATCTTTGCATTAAGCCCTGTCCACTGTTTCTGAGCACCTGGGTGCGCACACCTTTGAAAGGCCTAGTTTTCAGACGCCTGGGAGCCTCGGCACCCGCAGGAGAACATGGTCTTGCTAACTGCCCTGTAAGCCAAGCCCAGCCTCGCCTTCCATGTAATCTTCCTGTCTCCTTCGTAATTCCAAACATACAAGAGAAAGTGCAGTGTCCCTCTCCAAGGCACTAGGTCTTGTTTCCTAACAATGTCATCAGTTTGGCTTAATTAACTCTTATAAAAATTCACTACAAGTTTAGACATTTCTTACATGGACAGGCTCAAGATTCCAATACTTTTTAATACTTAAAGGATCAAAAGTCTGCATTTACTCATTAAATAAAAAATATAAACATAGCCAAGATCCACCTGACAATGAAACTTTGAAACTAACCTAACACTGGTATATAGTAGTATATGCAAACTGTTCTTAGGAGCCCAAAATATACTTAGGCATTAGAGTGGTATTAAGCAGAAAGATTTATTTTGTAGATCGGAATCCCACATAAGGTTTCTTTGGGAAGAACAACAAAAAAAGATGAGGGGCCTAATATTTTTGAATAAACTTTTGGGAACCACAAGTCTACTAAAGCTACAAAGGGAACATGCTAACTAGGAAGAATACAACCAACTTATTCCATTTCTAGGATATGATTATCTATTTATGCTCTGCCTATTCCAAGAGACACTTACACTGGCTTAGGGAATCTGAGTAGACAAAACTAAGAAATCTATTTTGTACTGAGCACAAGTCAACTCTAAAACGTCCTCATCACAAAAAAAAACAACAGCTAAAGACAGACAGCAATGTATTAGACTAGCATTCAGAAGCAAAACAATGTTTTAAAAGCAGCATCATTGCAAAAGCTTTTTATATAATCTGTCTCAAAATGAGCTAACAGCCCATGAAAACCAGCAGAGTTCCCAACCCAAACAGTAGAGGGCACTCATGTTCCTTAGTGGAAAGCCTAAGCTAGTATGGGGTGGGCAAAAGTAGACTTACAATTGTAATAATGAATAATGTAACTAACAAATAATAGCGCGATAAACTGTTTCATGTATTTACAACTGGAAACCTACTTTTGTCCACCCGTGTATATTAATTTACTAATTTAGGTGAAGCTAGACATAACATAATGTACACAAACAAAAAGAAATGGACGTATTTAACATGTCCTTAGGATTAACAGTACTATTTGGGACAAGCAGCAAAAATTAACTCTGCTCAAGAAGCAAAAGCAGCCCTGACCAATTTGGCTCAGTGGATGGAGTGTTGGCCTGCAGACCCAGGTGCCGTTCCGGTCAAGGGCATGTACCTTGGTTGCGGGCACAAACCCAGTGGGCTTGTGCAGGAGGCAGTTGATCAATGTTTCTAACTCTCTATCCCTCTCCCTCTCTGTAAAAAAATCAATAAAATATATATTTTTTTAAAAAGCAAAAGCAGTAATTCTTTACATCAGGGTCTGTATAGTCCCTGTGGACTGGTACATGCCTGACACACAAAAGCTCAATAAAAATATGTTGAATGAACGTATTCAGATGCTCTGCTGGTGTAATAGAGAGATTCCCTACTACAGTACATATATTCTCTGAAGCCTGTTTCACTCTTCCAGATGATATCATGTTCTGTATTTCCCTATGAAGATCCATCTCCCCCAAACTCCCCCTTAAGCTCTCTCTTAACTGACACTGCCACCTAGGCTCGGAGACCCCACTGCGGGAGCTTCTAGGAGACAGGACAGTGCGTGGAAGGCAGACCCGATGAAGTGCGAGGTGCTCAGCGAAGACGAATAGTGTACCACGCACAGTGCAGCGGCCATCTGATGCGGAAAAAGCCTACTCTCCCTCAACAGGCAATTTCACGTCAGCTATGCTGGGGGCTAAAAGGAGGGAACCAGAGTAAATAGCATTCTAACTTAAAATGCACCAAGCCTACACTTTAAGTAATACTTGTGGCTGGATAAACACCAATGACTGAGACAGTGGTCAAAATTGACATATGCATTCAAGGAGTACAGACAATTTGGATCAATTACTTCATATAATAGCTACAGATTAAGTCCATCTCTAAATAATGGCAAACAGTGGCTTTGGCCTAATTCTAATGCTATTCCTCTAGGGCAGCGGTTGTCAAACCTGTGGGTTGCGAACAATGAAAATACATCCTGCATATCAGATATTTACATTACGATTCATAACAGTAGCAAAATTAGTTATGAAGTAGCCACAAAAATAATTTGATGGTTGGGGGTCACCACCTCATGAGGAACTGTATTAAAGGGTCACGGCATTAGGAAGGTTGAGAACCACTGCTCTAGGGTCTATGGCAGTGGTCTGTAGGTGTAGGGCTCCTCACAGAAGTCAGTCTGAAGCTGCCTGGGGTCTGATTTAGGGGCGAGGGGTAGCATGGAGCAGCACTCTCAGCATCTGAGTGAAGATCCAGGCCACCCCACTTTCAGAAACACCCATCCTGTCTCTCACTGTAAGATTCCGACACACGGTGCTGTCCCTCGGAACTGGCTATGGCAATGCTGCGGAAGGAAGGACTACAGAAAGGACCTGGTGCAGTAACAGTCACCTTTTTGTCAACTTCACTGTCAGAATCGCTGCCAGAAGAGCTTGAAGAAACAAGTTCCTTTGATTTAGGCATTCTGAAAGAAAAACATATTATGTAAGTAATTTACAAATTGCTCTATTACATTCATTTTAACTCTCCCCCAACCAAAAATTTAAGAAGTTCCATGGTTCATGCTACCATTTTGTGGTACTGGAGTTTATACTGAGGGAATGCTAGAAGTTATATTCTAATCTGTGCTCTTCCAAGCTGAAGATAACATGCAGAGTAAAGTGTCGTACACATCGCACACTCTTACACCCTTTCTCAGAGCCAATGTGCATTTTTATTCTTCGCTTTAGCAGGGTTAGATGTATGAGTAGGGTCCATTGCAAGCAGCAGCTGACAGCCACCAGGGGAAGCCAGGGAGAGTAAGTCCTCTCAGTAAGGCTTTCCCCTTCTCATTGTTGAGACCAAACATAAAATTATTCACCACAGGAAATAACCACAACATTCACACGACATGGGGAATACTTGCACTATACCAGTGGTTCTCAACGTTGGCTGCACATTAGAATCACCTGAGAATCTTTTCAAAATCCTGATTTCTGGGCCTCATCCTCTGGAAATTCTGTTTCTTTGTTATGAGGTGGGGCCACAATATTAGTCACAAAAAAACAGACTTTCTGGAGGATGAGGCCCAGAAATCAGGATTTTAAAAGGATTCCTGGGTGATTCTAATGTGCAGCCAAGGTTGAGAACCACTGCCTTATACAGATATTGATATACAATTAATTGCCATTATAATACTAGTAAAGGCCCAGTGCACAAATTCGTGCACTAAGGGGGTCACTCACCCCGGCCTTCACCCTCTGGTGGTCCAGGAGCCCTTGGGGGATGTCCCAGGCCATGGAGGCAGGAGAGGCTCCTGCAACCACCACACAGCTGGCAAGCACTGCTTCTGGCTGCGCAGCACTCGCCCTGTGGGAGCACACTAACCACCAGGGGGCAACTCCTGCATTAAGCGTCTGCCCCTGGTGCTCACTGCATGTCATAGCAACCAGTCATTCCGGTTGTTGGGTCCTAATGGTCTCTTAGGCTTTTATATAGATAGATTTTTAATTTTCTTTCTTAATTTTCTTTGGCTTTTTGACCATGCCATCAAATAACAATTACTGATTCAGAGCTCACAAAGTTATACATAATTCACAATTCGTTACATTTTAACACTGATTTTTCTACTCCGGAATATACTAAAATCTGAAGACTGCTTTTGGCAGAGGCAAAACCTGTCCTCAAATTCCCATGGAAACCCTCGCTCCCCAGGTGCCTGAGCAGCAAGGCAGAGAGCCCTGCACATCTACATTTGCAGAAATTTGTTTAAAGCCTAGATCCCGAATTTCAAGGAATTCCAAGACCCGCTGAACCTATTTTCAAGGCACTTACACCAGGGGGGTAAGAGGTTATCTTCAGCTCTCTCCATCTCCCCCTCTCAAGAGACTGAGCCAGAGTTTTCTATGCCCTAAAGGGCCCATATGCACCACACACAGTCTCTCACGTGTTTAAAAACCAAAGGCTCCATTTCCTCCTTTAAAAAATCAGAAATAACGTAGCACTCCAGAGGGAGCTTGCATTAGCAGTGGCCTTGACTGTGTCCACAACAGGAGGTCAAGGTAAAGGGCCCCATCCTGGACACGAAGTTCCAAAGACCCGGGGGAGGGGGGGGGGCGCCAATCTGCACGACCACCTCTCGCCCGTTATTCCTGTTCCTGCTCCATGCCACAGCCCTATCTCCAAATCTACCCCGTTGTGTGTGCTAGCTGCTGATAATGCCAGGAAACATTTCAAAACTAAATTAAACAGCGCCCATGCTTCCCTCTGAAACGCCGCCATCTGCCTAAAGCAGCCTGGGGCCTAGGCCCGTTTCCACGACACCCACTCTCCTTTTCACCGAGTGCGACCATTAACAGGACAAGGTAATGGCACCTAAGCCGGCCTCTCAGAACGGATGGAAATAGGTATTTATGTTCACCCCAGGAGCCTTTATTGTTCAAAAAAAAAAAGACAGGCAGGCTCATAGTTCAGGCAAATGATACTAACATCGCTAAACTACATACAAAACCAAACAAACAAAAAACACGAAATCGCTGGCGTGGAGGACTGGAGACGAGCGTGTCAACAGATCGGCCGGGACTAAGGGCACAGGAGCGCGGTGCAACCCGAGGGGGTCCTCCCGGGGCGCCGGGGGTGGAGGGGGCC